TTGAAGTGTTATTTGATGAAATCTATAACCTTAAGAGTTTCAAGTTTGTGCTCTGTAAGATGAGAATAGCCATACGAACAATTCCTGTCATTCCCAAAACTGTTTTTCTGGCTTTCATATTGAAATCTCCTGGGCCTCCAGGCTTCTACCATCCTAAGTCTTTGCTACTTGCTGCTCTCCCCAGTTTCAATTCCTTCTCCCTTCTACTTGATGGCAGCTTTAATCAATGAACTCCAGTTTATTTTTTCCACTAACTTAAAAATTTTTTTTGTTTAATTTGTGTGGGTACATACTAGGTGTATATATTTATGAGGTACATGAGATGTTTTAATACACTGCATGCATTGCATAATAATCACATCATGGTAAATGGGGTATCTGTCTCCTCAATTTATCCTTTGTGTTACGAACAATCCAATTCTACTCTTAGTTTTTAAATGTATAATTTCTATTTTTTGGAGGGGGCCTGTTCCACCACATCATTCAATTATCCCACTCCTGGGTTTAAATCCAAGCATTGTTAACAAAATAGTGAGTTTATGAAACATTTTATTGGAAGTGTATTTTATATTTCTTAATCTAAAATCTATTGTTTTTTTCCCTGTGAAAATATGAAATAAAGTATTTTACACTACTTCCTAGGATTTGATATAATGTACTGAAATCTAAATTTTACTTCAGATTAATGTTAGCCAAACTAATTTGTTAATATCATTTAATGATGTCAATATTTAAATGTTTTTTTCTACATTTACATCTTTTTTTAAATAGCATTATTGAAATATAATTCACATACCATATATTGTCACCCCTTTGAAGTGTACAATTTAATGTTTTTTGGTGTATTCACAATATGTACAACTGTCACCGCAGTCAATTTTAGAATATTTTCATCACCTCAACAAGAAACCCTGTACCCTTTAGCTATCACCTCTTGGCCCCCATCTCTCCCACTCCGAAGCAACCACTAATTTACTTTCTGTCCCTGTAGATTTGCCTATTCTGGATATTTCATATCAATGAAATCATACAATATGTGGTCTTTTATGACTAACTTCTTTCACTGAGCATATTTTCAAGGATCAACTTTGTTGTAACATGTATCAATACTTTATTCCTATTTATGGTTGAATAGTCCATTGTGACGTTATACCACATTTTGTTTATTCGTTCAACAGCTGATGAACGTTTAGATTGTTTCTATAGTTTGGCTATTATGAATTATGCTGCTATAAAAATTTGAGTATGACATTTTGTATTTATATATGTTTTCATTTTTCTTGGGTATATACCTGGGAGCACAATTGCTAGGTTATATGGTAACTCTATGTTTAAACTTCTCAGGAACTTCTCAACTTTTACAAACTGGCTGTACTCTTTTACATTCCCACCAGCAGGGTACAAGCACTCTTATTTCTTCACATCCTGGGCGACATTTATTATTATTATTTGACATTTTTATTCTAGCCATCCTATGGGTATGAAATAGTGACTCATCGTGGTTTTGATTGTGGATTTGATACTCTTCTTTCTTTGAAGAGTAACAATGCTGAACATGCGTTCATGTGCTTATTGGTCATTTGTATATTTTCATAGATCTATTTAGTTCCCTTGCCCATTTTTAATTGAATTATTTGTCTTTTTATTATTGAACTGTCTGTGTTCTTTATACAGGTGACCCTTGAGCAATGTGGGGGTTAACGGTGCTGACCTACTGTGCAGCTAGAAATCTATATACATAACTTTTGTTTCCCCCACATTTAACTACTAATAGCCTACTGTTTGACTGGAAGCCTTACTGATAACATCAGTGGTCAATTAACACATATTTCATATGTTATATACTGTATTCTTACAATAAATAAGCTAGAGAAAAGAAAATGTTATTAAGAAAATCATAAGGCAGAGAATATATTTACTATCCATTATGTGGAAGTGGATCATTATAAAGGTCTTTATAGCAACACAAATGAACTAAGACAGTGTGGTACTTCCATAAGAATAGACATGTAGATCAACAAAATAGAGGAGAGTTTAGTCTCAGGGGTGGCAGAGGTGGAAGAAAATCTGCCTATAAGTGCATTTGTGTAGTTCAAACCTATGTTGTTCAATGGTCAACTGTGTATTCTAGATAAAAGTCCCTTATTAGACATATGATTTGCCGATATTTTCTCCCATTCTGTAGGCCGTCTTTTCACTTTCTTGATAGTGTTCTTTGTAGCCCAAAAGATTTTTTTAATTTTGATGAAGTCAAATGTAATTGTTTTTTCTTTTGTTGTTTGCCCTTTTGATGATTTAAGAAATCATTGCCTAATCCAAGGTTACGAACATTTTCCCCTGTGTTTTCATCTAACAGTTTTATGATTTTAGCTCTTACATCTAAGACTTTGATCTATTTTTCATTAATTTTTAATAGGGTGCAAAGTAGAGGTCCAAATAATATTTTTTTTTTCCCATGGAGACATCCAGGTGTCTCAACATGATTTGTTGAAAAGGCTATTCTTTTTATATTGAATATCCTTGAAACCCTTGTCAAAATCAGTTGACCACAGGACAGATATATGGATTTATTGCTGGATTCTCATTTCTATTCTGTTATGTTTAGTTGGTTTATAGTATTTTCTTTGTCTTGTATTATTGATCTTCTGCCTAGATTTTCTATCTGTTAGTGCAAGGAGTTATTGAAGTGTCCAACCACTATTGTTGAATTATCTGGTTCTTGTACTATTTCTGTCAGGTTTTGTTTTACATATTTTAGTACTCAGAAATTAAGTGCATACATGATTATAATTGTTATATCTTCCTGATGGATTAATATTTTTATCATTATAAAATGATCCTGTATATCTTAGTAATGAGTTTTTTTGTTTGTTTTAATGTCTCTTTTGACTGGCTGTCTTGTGGTTGCTACTTGTATGATATATCTTTTTCCATCCCTTTACATTCAATCTATTTGTATCTTTGAATCTAAAGGATACCTCTTATACACAGTATATGGTTGGATCTTTTCAATCCAGTCAGACCTTCTCTGCTTTCTGATTAAATCATTTAATCTATTTACATTTAATTTTATTTTTGATGTGGTTAGATTTATATCTGTCATTTTGCTTTCTGTTTTCTATATGCCTCAAGTCTTTTTTGTTCCTCTATCCCTCTTTTACTGCTTTCTTTTTCATTAAGTAAATATTCCTCATGTAATATTTTACTTTAATAATTTTACTACTTTTGTTTCTTTAGTGGTTGCTCTAGGATTTACCATGTACATCTTATCATTGGTTTCAGAGTTATACTAACTTAATGCCAGTGAGATATAGAAATGTTTCTCCTATGTAGCTCTGTTCCCTTTTCCCCCTTTTTGTGATATTACTATCATATATATTACATCAAAAATGTTTTAAACCCAAGAATACATTGTTATAATTATTGCTTTATGTAATTTTAAGACTCTTAAGAAGCTGAAAGAAGAAAGGAAAATATATATTATAACTTTTGTTATATTAACATTGTTTATCATTTCTGGTTTTCTTCATTTGTTCCTGTGGATTTGAATTACCAACTGGAGTCATTTCTTTAGTCCCATACACTTTGCTCTTACCCACCTCATTTCTGCTGTTATTGGGAAATATATTACATTTCTCTATGTTGTATGCCCAGCAATACACTATATACATATTTTTATACAGTTGCCTTTTACATCTTTTAACAAAAGAAAGAAGCGGTAATTTTCATTTGTACTGTCTTTTCTCATTACATATTTATTTTTACTTATGCTGCTTTGTCATGTGGATTCAGATTACCATGCATTTAGATTATAAGTCAGTATTTTGTATCTAAGCCTTTGCTATTCTCTCCTATTCCAAGTTTCAATGGAAACTCCATCTTTTACTTCACAGCAGCTTTCTTTTGATCTATTACCTTCAATTTTATTTGACCTGTTTCATATTACCCTGTAATTTCACTCTTAGCTTTGAAATCCAAATGAAAACAAAATAGTGAATTTAAATAGCACTTTTATTTGAAATTCAGCTTTTGTTTCTTAATCTTGAAAAGGAAATTTTTGTTCCTGAAAAACTAAAATGAGATGTTTTAGTCCACTTCCTCTGCCTTGAATATAATGTTCTGGAATTTAAATTTTCCTTCAGATTAACATTAGTCAAAATAAATTCCTAATGTCATTTTAATAACACTAATATTTAAACATCAGCCTACATTTAGATATCAAATTAGTAATTTACAGCCTACATTTCATTGAAGACCAGTAAACTTGACCAGAGATAAAGGAGGAGAAGAAGGGGCTCAGAAAAGAGGATGTAAACAATACCAGCTGTCAATGAGGAGAGGGGTGGTCAGACAAGGGGAGAGTGAGTGGTTAGAAACTTCACCTGGCTGTCCTTAGATTGACACTTTGAAATACTATTTTGTAGTCATTTTGGCTAATAGTCATTTTTACCTGTATGAGTCATTTGGGCTAATTTTAAAAGAATCCACTTTTAGACTTTAGCTGAAACCAACATAAATACTGCTTTTGCTAGGTTCAACTCAGTTCAATTTTCATTTAAATTCAAAAGACTCCACTGAAAATTTTCCAGTAAACACTTTAACTACTACTTTCACCTCTCTCTCTTCATTTAGCACTCAATAGCAGTGTTTTCCAGTATTAATATGGCAAAACTTTATGACATTTATTTCATATTTTAGCTCTAACCTAAGCAAATCTAGTATCAAAATAGATGCTGAAATGATTTAGTGCATTGATTTCGGCGCACAATTTATTCACTCACCTTCCATAGATTAGAGAATAGCTTTGAATTGAACACAACCTCATTTTCATTTTGCTCTTATCTTTTAAAGAAAAGACTGTTGTAAGAGACTTAGGTGAAGTAATAGTAATGGAGTAGGAAGTAGATACTAAGAGGCTATGTGTCCAAGAAATCAGCCTAAATTTTGGAAAAACCGTTGATGAACCAAACTGTAATGCTTCCCATCTTTCTTCTGGCCAGGATATCCATTACCGAAACTTGACATGAACTTCTCATTGGAGAATAGAGAAGAGCCATGGGTGAAGGAATTACAGGATTCTAAAGAAATGAAACAATTACTTGATTCCAAGATAGGTAAGTAATTGTTCTTTGATATACTAGGGGAAAAAAAAAGAAAAATTTAACCTAAATAAAGATAAAGAGTTTGGAATTCTATTTAGGAATTTCTATGTTCCTACCACTGGTTTAACATAACTCTTCATTTTCCTTCACTTTCTTTTCTCCATGGAACACAATATCATCTGCAGTTTCTATTTCTTTTCTCAGGTTTTGAGATTGGGATAGAAAATGAAGAAGATACTTCAAAACAGAAAAAAATGGAGACTATGTATCCATTTATTGTAACTTTAGAGGGGAATGCTCTCCAGGGTCCCATTTTGCAAAAAGACTATGTACAGTTAGAAAATCAATGGGAACCCCCCCCAGAGGATTTACAGACAGATTTAGCAAAACTGGTAGATCAGCAGAACCCCACTCTGGGAGAGACACCTGAGAACTCCAACTTGGAAGAACCTCTCAACCCCAAACCCCATAAGAAAAAGAGTCCAGGAGAGAAACCTCACCGATGTCCTCAGTGTGGAAAATGTTTTGCTCGAAAGTCACAACTTACTGGGCATCAGAGAATTCATTCAGGAGAAGAACCTCACAAATGCCCTGAATGTGGGAAAAGATTCCTTCGTAGTTCAGATCTTTATAGACACCAACGACTTCATACAGGGGAGAGACCCTATGAATGCACTGTATGTAAAAAGCGATTCACTCGGCGGTCACATCTTATAGGGCACCAGAGAACCCATTCTGAAGAAGAAACATATAAATGTCTTGAGTGTGGGAAAAGTTTTTGTCATGGATCAAGTCTTAAAAGACATCTGAAAACTCATACAGGTGAAAAACCTCATAGATGTCATAATTGTGGGAAAAGTTTTAGTCGACTGACAGCTCTTACTTTGCACCAGAGAACGCATACTGAAGAGAGACCTTTTAAGTGTAATTATTGTGGGAAAAGTTTTAGACAGAGACCAAGCCTCGTTATTCATTTAAGAATCCACACAGGGGAGAAGCCGTACAAGTGTACTCATTGTTCTAAAAGCTTCAGACAGAGAGCTGGCCTTATTATGCACCAGGTCACTCACTTTAGAGGACTTATTTAAGAATCGCTGAAACAGGTCCTACACAAATTGACACTAACTCAAAAAAAATCTTAACCTGCAGCAGGCTGTTTGTCTTGGAAGCTTTTGTTTAAGCTTATAAGATAGACAGCTATTTTTTTTTTTTTTTTTGCTAGTTTTAAAACCCATCTTCCAAGCAATATGAATTTTAGAGTATTTATCTATTCTTGTGATTTTCTTAGATTTGATTTCTTCTGTCAGCACAACTCTTCTTTTTTTAATTACAATGAAAAATTTTGTGTTCCAAGGCAACTGTATCATAGGTGTAAACATAAAGCATATAAATTATGACAATCCTTTTAGAGGTAGGGTCAATATAGTGGATAAACATGTCTATCAGATGTATTGATTATAGCAGTACTATAGTTATTCTGCTGTCATTATTAAAGATGATTATATTCATTCAAAGCTTTAGATGTGTCCCATGTGGCAAGAAAGGAGACAGTGAATTTTGTCAAACAATAAAAATGTGTCAGGAACACAAGGATGAAGGGGATGTCATTTGCCTGGTAAGAACTGGGTTATTTCTACTGAAATTTTTTATGTTTAAAGAAATTAAGATTTTAACCTTTACTTTTGAATTTTGCAAAGTTTGCTAGTCTGCTTAGTCAGCAGTCTGTGGTAATGCTGCTAAAAGCAGAGTATTAATCTGGTAATTTATTTTGTTCACAGAATAAGTAAGCTCTATGTCTGGAAGAATCCATTTGGCAATTGAAATTATACAAGCAGGATCTAATTTAATTGTGATTGACTGAAGAACCAGGGTCTTTTGCTCTCCTTTGGTATTTCACTCTCCTTTGGTATTCAATCATGTGTCTTTCAGTGCTTTTTAAAATTTTACCCATTCTTTAATTTAGTGTCTCCATATGTGTGTGTCATAGAATACTTAGTTCTGCTAGATATTCTGCAAATATATTTGGGAATTGCTTCCTGCTGTTTCGCCTTCTTAGATTCATAGTGCACATCAGCATGTGAGAATCTCTGAGAGGTCTTCTAGAAAGGAGAGAAAAAGCACCTCTTTTGGCTCAATGTTTTCCAAACTTATTTGACCCCAAAACCTTTTTCATATACCCAATAATAAGCTACAGAACTAATAATCTGCAAATGTCTCTTGGAACACACTGCCTTAAACAGATATTTCTATAGCTATCAGTATAGTTAAGTTGCTCCCAAGCCTAGTTATCTCCAGTTGTTTTAAGGGTGTTATGAAAAATTCTTAAAATATATATGAATTTGTATAACACACACAGAGACACACACACACATATACATACATACTACTTTAAGGGGGTGAGGGTCACTAATTCAGATAATTTTTAAGTTGCCTAGTGATTCTCAATCTCTTTGAATTTTACTTATATTTACACACACACACATATGTATATACACATATCATTTTAAGAAGATGAGGATCACTAATTCAGATAATTTATAAGTTGCCCAGTGATTCTCAACCTCTTTGAATTTTACTTATAATTACATACACACACACACACACACATGCACACACGTTGCTACTTATATAAATGTTCTCATGTAATCATGGTAACAGCTCAAATTCCCAAAGCAAGGGAAGACTTCTCATTGTCAGTTAAACCTGTTAAAACATGAAAATATTCATTGAGCCTAGTTCCTTGTTATAAAATACAAGAAATAGGACATTCAAGCATTTTCCCTTTATGAAGATACTCAGTCATTCTTTCCTTAAACTACAATTAGGGAAAGTATATCTCTTCTATTCCTTTGAAGTTCTCGAAAGTGATGTAAGTACTTTGGGGGTATCTACTATGTGCCTAACTAGTCCTAGTCCTGTTCTAGGCTTAGTGGAAGCTAGTAAAGAAATGTAATTCATGGATCAGGCTCATAAAGATTTTATAATATTTTTAGTTAAACAAGAGTTGGGAAACAGGTGGAGAAAAATGCAAGAGAGTTTGTAATTAAGTGCCAATTATACCAATTGCTAGACCTAGGATGTGTCTTTAATTCTTGTCATCCAGGTCCTTGTGTGATGCTGCTATAAGTCTGGGGCTCAAACTGATATCCCAGTAGCAATAAACGTATAATATGGGAGGAGTCCGAATGTAGAGATGAAAAATACAGAATGTGATGGCTTCTCTTTTCTCTCTTGTGGAATTGCATTCAAACCAGAACAGTGCCTTAGAATGGATGTGCCCAACTGCTCTGTATTTATGCAATATTTTAATAAAGCAGAAATGTATGTGCTCTTCCTGCTTCACTTGCACTAATTAATTTTTTGAACAACTTAGAGCTTCTTCCCTGAACAGTGGCAACAAGCATGGCAATTGACTCCTGTCCTCATCCCAAGTTGGAATCGCTTTTCTCTCTGCAACCATGGCACTGTGATTATGCATCATTTTTAGCATTTAATATAGTCCATTTTTGGCTAGTAGGGTTAGTTGCAATCATAATATGAGTTGTATCCTCCCTCTCATTTATATCAAGTATACTTGACTAGATTTTTACAAGTTAGAGAATGTCTAATATTCTTTTTTACAGTGCCCTATATATAAGAATTAATACATATTTGTGGCATTGAATCAAGAAACACGTGAAATAGTTCTTGGAAACAGATAACATATTTAGAACATTACATGGATAATTATACTTCTATGCCTAATTGTACTTCTGAGCATTTCAAAAAGATAAGGGCAAAATATGGTACCTACCTCCTAGCTATTATAAAGGGGAAAATACAGTACCTACCTCAAAAGTACTATGAAGATTAAATGAAATATATTTTGCTCTGGCCCTACACACTGTAAGCTTTCAATAAATATCCCCCATGTTATATTCTCATTCTTTGTAGTTTAATGATAAAAGCATTTAAAGCTATAGATTTCTTCTCTTTATGGCTTTGGACATCATAACTTTTATATGTAATGTTCTTATTAATTATTTCAAAATTGTTGTTTTCATTATAATTCCTCTTTGACTTAAGAGATGTACAACGTTGCCATTTTCCTCTTAATTTTTGGTTTTGCTACATTGTGATTAGTCTGGGCCCAGCCCCCTGCTTCTTTAATAGTCCTCTGTAACAGATGTGAAATGGATTGGTAAGAGAGCTCATCTCTTAGCCTCTCCTTAGCATTGATAATCAGTTTACTCAGTTCCCAATCCCTGAGACTTTAACCACTGGGATTGGAAGTGGTGGTAAATCTCTTTCTCCTGGAGTGATATATAGGTTAGCCTCTATCCAGCTTTTTGTGCCTTGTCAGAAAGGACTTCTCAGAGTTCTAGCAAGACCTAAGTTTACATTTCCTAAGAATTCTAAGATAGTAAAAAATACTAAAATATTGATATATTTTAAATATTTACATTTAATGAACATCTTTATCACCTAATACAAGAATATAAATGTATTAATTACTGAAGATAACTTCAAAACTCTAAAATGTGAGGCCTTTCCTGAAAATCAGACCTTACCTGTTGGCCCTAGAAGAGATCTGTTTACCTCTACTTTGAAGTGTATTCTACAGTAATTCTTCAGCTACCTCTTCTCAACTAGATTCCTTTCCTATGAAAGTAGAGGGTGAGCAGTGAAGAACTAGAGGCCCTTCATCTTAACCTGGAGTGAAAGGAAACACTTGTACTGCCTTATCTCCCGAGAAGTACAATTCATCTTGGGAAGACTAGAGTCCCTTTTCCTAAGGTGTTACTTACATGCTGCTGTAACACACACACACACCCCCCACACACACATGGGTATAGGGAATAGGGAAGAGAAAAAGAAGTGTGTGTGTGTGTGTGTGTGTGTGTGTGTGTGTGTGTGTATGTATATATTTTAGACGAAGTTTTGCTCTGTCGCCCAGGCTGGAGTGCAGTGGCATGATCTTGGCTCACTGCAACCTCTGTCTCCTGGGTTCAAGCAATTATCCCTCCCTCAGCCTCCCAAGTAACTGGGATTACAGGTGCCCGCCACCATGGCTGACTAATTTTTGTATTTTTAGTAGGATAGGATTTCACCATGTTGGCCAGACTGGTCTCGAACTCCTGGGCTCAAGTGATCTGCCTGCCGCGGCCTCCCAAAGTGCTGGGATTACAGGCATGAGCCACCGTGCCCGACCAGAAGTGTACAATTCTTAACCCCAATTCCTCCATTTTCAAGCAGAGAGATGGTATAATTAACACTGAGAAGTTCTATGTTTACCAAACAAATGACCTTGACAAAGTCTCCAAGTCTTGATTTCTTTACCTGTTGTGGGAATTTTAAAGTATACCCTCAAATTATTTTCCCATAAAAAATGGAGTCTCTGTCCCCTGCCCTTGAATCTGGGCAGGCTTGAGACTGCTACTAAAGGAATAAGTGATACTCTGTTACTTCTGAGGTGGGGTCATAAAAGATGTTGTAGCTTCCATCTTGTTCAGTAGAAGCACTTGCTCTTGGATCCCATGTAGGAAGTCTGATCAATATGGAGAGGTACCTGTAGGCTGTCTGGTGGTTATTCTGAACTGAGCTTGTTCTTCAGCCACCTCGGCCACCTCATTTTGTCTTAGAAGTGGATCCTTCAGCTCTAGCAGTTGCAACCCCAAAACATTTGAGTCATCCTAGCTGAGGCCCTACATATCTTGGGTAGAGAAGAGCCATCCCCCTGTGCCCTGTCCACATTCCTAACTCACATAATTTGAAAGCATAATAATATGACTACTGTTTTACACTGTTGAACTTTGGAGTGGTTTGTTACACAGCAGTAGAGAGTGGTAATATCTTTAAAGCAGATATAACATCTGGTAAGATGAACAACTGGGAAACAGACACTAAAGCATTTAGAAAACAGACCTACAAATAGCTAATGGGTATATACTCAACATCACTAATCATCAGGAAAATGCAAACTAAAATGACAATGAGATATCATGTCACACCTGTTAGAATGGCTGTTATCCAACAGCAACAACAAAACAAGATAACAAGTGTTGGTGAAGATGTGAGAAAAAAGAACCCTTCTATACTCTAGGTGGAAATGTGAATTGGTACAGCCATTATAGAAAACAATATTGAGATTTCTCAAAAAATTAAAAATAGAACTACTATCTGATCCATCAATACCACTTCTGCATATATATTTAATTAAAAATCAGTATCCCATAGAGATATTTACACTACCATGTTCATTTGAGCACTTTCACAATAGCTAAGATATAAAATCAATCTTAGTGTATATAGACTGATAAATGGATGAAGAAAATGTGAGATATGTATGCAGGGATTTTGTTGTATTGTGCCTCACTTTATTGTGTTTTAAAGATACTGCGTTTTTGACAAATTGCAGATTTGTCGCAACCCAGATTTGTGGCAAAAACATGTGCTCACTTTGTGTCTCTTTGTCACGTTTTGGTAATCCTCACAGTGTATCAATTTGTTTCATTATTACTATATCTGTTATGGTGATCTGTGATCAATAATCTTTAATGTTAGTACTGTAATTGGGGGTGTGTATTAGTCTGTTCTCACCCTGCTATAAAGATACTACCTGAGACTGGGTAATTTGTAAACAAAAGAGGTTCAATTGACTCACAGTTCCACATGGCTGAGGAGGCCTCAGGAAACTTACAGTCATGGTGGAAGAGGTAGGAGAAGCAAGCAAGTACCTTCTTCAGAAGGCAGCAGGAGAGAGAGTGCAGAAGGCAAATGGTAGACACTTATCAAACAACCAGATCTCCTGAGAATGCCCTCATTATCACAAGAACAGCATGGGGGAAACTGCCCCCATTGTCCAATCACTTCCCACAAGGCCCCTCCCTCAACACATGGGGATTACAATTCAAGATGAGGTTTGTGTGGGGACACAGAGCTAAACCATATTATTTCACCCCTGGCCCCTCCCAAATCTCATGTCTTTTTGATATTTCAAAACAAATCATGCCTTTCCAACAGTCTCCCAAAGTCTTAACTGATTCCAGCATTAACTCAAGAGTTCAAGTCCAAAGTCTCATCTGAGACAAGGCAAGGCCCTTCTTATGCTTATGAGCCTGTAAAATCAAAAGCAAGTTACTTACTTCCAAAATATAATGGGGGTATCTTGGGTATTACAGTTACATAAATGTTCCCATTTCAAGTAGGAGAAATTGGCCAAAAAAAGGGGCCCAGGCCCCATGCAAGTCTGAAACCCAGCAGGGCAGTCATTATATGTTAAGGCTCCAAAATGATCTCCTCTGACTCCATGTCTCATTATCAAAAGCATGCTGATGCAAGGGGTGGGCTCCTACAGCCTTGAGCAGCTCTGCTTCTCTGACTCTAGAGGGTACAGCTTCCATGGCTGCCTTCATGAGTTGGTATTGAATGCCTGAGGCTTTTCCAGGTGCATGGTGCAAGCTATCAGTGAATCTACCTTTCTGAGGTCTGGAAGATAGTGGGCCTCTTCTCACAGCCCCACTAGGCAGTGCCCTAGTGGGGCCTCTGTGTGGGGGTTCCAATCCCATATTTCCATTCCACACTGCCCTAGTAGAGGTTTTCTATGAGGGCTCTGCCCCTGCAGCACAGTTCTGCCTGGACATCCAGGCATTTCCATACATCTTCTGAAATCTAGGCAGAAGTTCCCAAAGCTCAACTCTTGTCTTCTGTGCACCTGAAGGCCCAACACCAAGTGGAAGCCACCAAGGCTTTGGGCTTGCACCCTCTGAAGCAATGGCCCTAGCTGTACCTTAGCCCCCTTTAGCCACAGCTGGAGCTGGAGCGACTGGGACACGAGGCACCAAGTCCTGAAGTGGCACAGAGCAATGGGGCCCTTGACCCAGCCCATGAAGCCATGTTTTCCTCCTAGGCCTCTGGGCCTGTGATGGGAAAGGCAGCCTTCAAGATCTCTGATATGCCCTGGAGACATTTTCTTCATTGTCTTGGCTATTAACATTTGGCTCCTTGTTACTTACGCAAATTTCTGTAGCCAGCTTGAATTCCTCCCCAAAAAATGGGTTTTTCTTTTCTACCAAATGGTCAGGCTGCAAATTTTTCAAACATTTATGCTTTGCTTCCCTTTTAAATGTAAGTTCCTATTTTAAATCATCTCTGTGAACACATATAACTGTACGCTTTCAGGAAAAGCCAGGTCATATCTTGAATGCTTTGCTGCTTAGAAATTTCTTCTGCCAGATACCCTATGTCATCTCTCTCAAATGCAAAGCTCCACAGATGTCTAGGGCAGGGACAAAATGCCACCAGTCTCTTTGCTAAAGCATAGCAAGAGTGAATTAAACCTCTTTTCTTTATAAATTACCCAGTCTCAGATATTTCTTTATAGCAGTGTGAGAACAGAGTAATACAAAGGTTGAGGTCATTAAGAGACCACAAGCATGAAAATGAAAATGACTACTATAAAAGGCATGAAAGTGAACATTAGAATAAAGGTGAAGTTAGGTATAACACAACAAACATAAAGATGACCACTGGAAAAGTTAAGATCGCATGTGAGACTTCAAGTGTAATGATGACTGCTGAAACAATGTCAGTGTTCAAAGTATGAGGCAAAAAGTATAAGGATGATTCTGAAATAAGCCAAGGTAAACGTTCAACAAGCATTATGATGAATTCTGGTAAAGGTTAAGGTCCTGTGTGAGACGAAAACCATGAGGATGACAGCTGGAATATGTTAAGGTTCAATGTGCAGCAGAGAGCTAGAAGGACACTACTGGAATAATGTTACACTTGAGTGTGAGACTGCTAGCAAGAAGTTGATAGCTGGGATAAGGATAAAGGTAAGACCTAAACAATAAGGATGAAGGTTACTACTAAAATAAGGGTAGTATTCAGTGTGAGATAGTAAGCAGGAAGGTGACCACTGGAATAAGGATAGCATTTGTTTTGAGAAAGGAGGCATGAAGATGACCTCTGGAATAAGGCAAAGTTTCAGTATGAGAAAAGGAGTACAAAAATGATGGATAGAATAAGGCTATAGTTCAATGAAACTATAATAAAAATGAAGATGACTGCTGGAATATGTTTATGGTTCAGTGTGAGACAAAATACATGAAGATGATTGTAGAAATAATGCTAAGTTTCCCTTTGAGACTTCAGCCGTGAAGTGGAATCATGGGATAAGGTTAAGTTTCAGTGTATGAAAATTAGCATGAAAATGATTGCTTGAATAATGTTCAGGTTCAGTGTGAGACAAGCATGATAATGACTACTGGGATACATTTCTAATTCGCTGTGAGAGCAAGAATGAAAATGACCACATTAATAAGGTTATGTTTCACAGTGAGGAAATAAGCATGAAAATTACCACTAGGATTAGGTAAAAGTTCAATTTCTGACAACGTGCATGCAGATGACCACTGGAATAAGATTATCCTGTGTGAGAAAACCACCGTGGAATGACGCTGGAATATGTCTATTTTTTTAGTGGGAGACAAAGAACAGGAATGTGAACACTGGAATAAGGAAACAGTTTAGTATGAGAGTAGCATGAAGATGACCGCTATAATAATGTTAAGCTTCAGTTGAGACAGCAAGCTTGAAGAATAATACTGGAATATGTGTATACTTTATTGTGACATAACAATAGGAAAACATCCAACCAAATAAAGGTAAGGTTCAGTTTGTGACAACAACTATGATGATGAATGCTAGAATAATTAATCTCACCTATAAAATGGAGATAAAAGTGGTATTTATAGGGTTTTTGAGATGATTAAGTGAGATAGACATAAAGAACTGAGCACAATTCTTGGTTCTAGTAAGCTTTAAATCATTGGTAACTGTGGCTATTTTCTTATTATCATCTTTACCAGCAACAGCAGCACCATCACAATGGTCATAATAGTCATTTCCAGGAAATCAGAGCCCCTTTTAATTGGCTGGTGCTGTATGGGTTCTTCTGTTGGCTGGGTTTAACAGGAAATGTTATTTCAGGAAAGAATAGACAGAGTTACATTTTTTTTCCAGTGGTTAATGTCTCCCATCTGTGGTTAGAAACTAGGCTAAAAATAAATAAATAAATAAATAAAAATAAAAAACTTAGCCACTAGGAAGATGAAAGATAGCATTCAAAGTGGGAGGTGCAGACATAGTTTCCAGTGGAGAAGGTTCCTTTCCCCTATGTAATGGTAAATTTTAGGTGTCCACTTTACTGTATTAAAGGATATTCAGATGGCTGGTAAAGTATTGTTTCTGGATATATCTGTGAGAATGTTTCCAGAGGAGACTGGCATTTGAATCAGTAGATTGAGTGAGGAAGATCTTTCCTTACCCAATGTGGGTCAGCACCATCCATTCCACTGAGAGCCCAGATAGAACAAGAAGGCAGAGGAAAGGTGAATTTGCTGTCTCTTCTGAAACTGGGACACCCTTCTTCTGCCCTTGGATATCAAAGCTCCAGATTTTCTGGCCTTTGGACTTTGAGACGTACACCAGTGCCCACCCAGATTCTCAGGCCTTGGGCCTAGGACTGAGAGTTACACTACTGGCTTCCCTGTTTCTGAGGCCTTCTGACTTGTACTGAGCCACACCACCAGCTTCCCTAGTCTCCACCTTGTGGATGGCCTATCATGGGAATTCTCAGCTTCCATAATTGCATGAGCTAATACTCCTAATAAATACCCTCCCATGTATCTATATCTATTTGTCTTATTGGTTCTGCCTCTTTGGAGAACTAGTATACCCTGCCGACAACTTTTTAAAGTAAATAGGGATACTTTTCTGTTACTCCCACATATCCTTACTTCTACAAGAATCCTGAGGGAGGGAGGCACTTTGCAGCTGAAAGGGAAACAGTAAAACAGTAAGTTGGATGTGTTGGGTAGATATCACATTTAGAGAAGAAAGGAAGTCACCCTCTGAGCAGGAGGTTACATAGGTTCCTTTGTGCACCATAAATAGTCCTACTTCTCTCTCTACTCCTTTCCCACCATGTCTCTATCCAGCATCTCCTACTCAATCTCCTTTAGTGAAGCCCTTGCCCAGACATCAATCAGTGCATCATCAGAAGGGGAAGGACCCAAGTAAGATCTGACTCTGATAGGAAAGCTCTAGTGAAAGCTTGTAGGTCTGCTCTTTGGGAATATAGCAGTTACTAGGCTATTCTGTGCCACTTTATGCACTACTAAAAGTAGAGACACATAGACATTCTATCCAGTATAGCTTGGGATTTGCAACCTAATCAGCTCTTTCCAAGCCTTGACACAGCTTCTTGAGTTGTGTCTTTATATGTAGACACAAAAACACTAGGCCTCTTCAATGCAAGGTTTGAAGTGGCTAGTCAGTGCCTCTTGTCATTTGGGAAACCTGATCTAACTCTGACAGCCTTTTCGAGGAGACACCTTATTCCTAGAACCAACTCAGAACACCATAAGTACAAATATCAACAGGAAATAGAAAATCCCTTCGTTTACTTCCTTTACCTTTCTAAGCCAGACTGACAATTAGTCTGCTTTAAGCCATACAAAGAAACAACGAATCTTCCTGTATGGATGATAGGCTTTTCATCACTCCTATATGTACTAAATTGAAGTTACACCTTTTGGATTGCCACTCCATACAAATCTTTCCAGAAAACTGTATTTTAAAAAAATTAGCATATCTAACAAATTCTCACTGAAGGAGCTGTCATTATGCCTTTTCTAACAGCGAGCATAATGTTTGCGTATGAAAACACTTGAATGTAAAAAAAGAAACCACTGAATGAAGTCAAATATCTGAGTGAGAAAGCATAAAGGTATTTGCTAAAAATCAATGTCAAAGATCATAATTAAAAAGTGGATATTATCAAAGGAAAGCCTAACTAGAAATGCATGAAAATGGGAACAGTGGGTATAATTCTAGGTAGACAGATTTTTGGCAATTTAAAATTTCATTACACGTTTCTGAAGTCTCTAGACCTTCTACCTAAGCACATATTACATCTATAATTTTAAAAATTATTCAAAAAATTTTGAACACATCCAGCCTTTTTGTGTGTTGTGATTTTTCATTAAATACTAGGAAAATTGTCTTCTACATAGATAATTCATAGAGTCAATGTCAATAGCCTTGCCTTAAAATTTCAGTTATAATCAATTCTCTTTCCAATAATAACAACAAGGGGAAGGAAAACACACTTAATTTGATAATGTGTTTGATATGGAATACATCACCTTAGTAATTAATATTCTCACCAATAAGGAACCATGCACTGAACAGAAGGAAGATGAGTAGAAGGCCGAAAAGTGGTCTAGGAGTCATCTCCTTGGGAATGATCCAAGGATCCATGTTCTGTGACAAATCTGAAGACGAATCACCTTTTCTTTCCCTGGGAAGGGCCCCTAGTTCTGGAGATTGCCACCAATTACTGTCACCTTTCTTGGACTCCTCCACTTTGTGACCCCAGAATGCCAGTCCTCATCAGAATTGCTCATTGAACCAAACAATGCTTTGAGGTCTTCCTCAGCCTAGTGCAATAAAGATATTCAGGATGACTGAATTTCTAAGGTAGAAGAGGTTTCACAGATAAGTTCCAATTTCACGACCTTCTTTATCTACCAAATGAGCAACGTTTTGGTCAAGAGCCAATTGAAGTCTGGATGGTGAGTGGCTGGCCCTTAATCACCGTCAAGTCACCTGATGGAAGACCTTGGCTGCCATGGCTCAAATAAGTGGTCTTAAGCTTTTTTTGAATACGTGAAGCCTCAGTTTCTCACAGGTAGAAAATAACAATGATCCTAACCTTCCTAGGCTTTAACATAATTTAATAAATTATGATAATAAGTGAAAAGGCTTTGAAATATCAATATGCTCTACAAAAGTGAGGTAGAGTGTTTAGTTTCTAAGCAAATGGAAATTTAGGGGTTTTGATCTTCATGTAGGGAATACCTGGATTCATGGGTGTACAAACCTGTACATTTGAACAAAGCCCCATGCTTGGTTTAATGCTTTGCTGTTGGCATCTTGAAATTCTGGATAATTTTTGCAATAGAGAATCCTGATTTTATTTTGCTCTGGGGTCCTGCAAATTATGTAGCTTTTCCTGACATCAGGTGCATGACACCTCCCTGTGAAAGAAACCCATGCCTATAGAAGAATAGAATCACCAGAGTTATCTACTGAGAAGAAAGGTCAAAAGGATAAAAGTAAAGATCAACAGCAGCACTTACAGTGTATATTTGAGAACATTTTATAATAGCTCATACTTATATTTAGCAATTCCTCCCCTGAAATTATCAAAAGTCTTGGCTTTGATGATTCTTTGATCATCAATGAATTAATCATGTGTGTCCAGAAAAGAAGTGACTTCACAAAGGCTGGAAAAGAGCAGAGACCTTTCTGGCACTGCTAGTTAACAGGCACCCTCCAGCCCACACAGCTGGACAGATCATAGTAAGTCCTGCTGGGCACTGAGCTAAGTCAGCATCCGTGTAAAATGTCTTGAGTTGGCCAGAAAAGAACATGGCTCAGAGCAAGGAAAAAGCCCTGGGTTCTGGGCCACCACTTGCTTTCCTGCAGCATTACAGAGGTGTAGTTTCCAAAGATAAGCCCATGTAATCTCTGAGGAAACTTGCTGACCCTGGGAAAGGAAACAAACAAAGGAAATGATGACAAAAGTCTAATGTGCTTGAGTGTGCGTGGGGGATGGGAGGTTGTGTGGGAAGAAATGCTAAACTAGGCACCATAATGTTCTGCTCCAATATTTGGATTAAGAAAATGGGGTACTAATTATGGATTAAGGAAACAGGGGTACTACCTTCTATGTGCTGGGCGCTTAACAAAGATAATCACACTCAATCCTACAACATCCCTGGTAGCAAGGTATGATTCCTATTTTATGACTGAAGATACTCAGGCTTGAAGATGAAAGTTAGTGAGAATGAGCCAAAGGTCTTTCAAACTCAGACACTGGAGACTTATTGTGAATAAAAGATGCTTTGTGGTGTCAGCAATATCTGCAAAGCAAGAAAATGGACAATGATGTATGGAAAGTAAAAATTTTGAGAAGTATTTGCCTACATATTATGTTAATTGCTGGCTTATGCCGCCAGGACCCCTAGCACAAGCCCACTCCACTCCATCAAAGCTAGGAGACACTGGCAGACTACCACTCCCCACCATCCACTTGGTCCACAGGTTCCATTTTCCCCTTTTTCATAGTTAGAGCTAGCTTTAAATAACATTCCAATCCATGTTGTCACCCCTGAGACAAAGGCACCTGAGCAGCACTCCCACATTCCCTGGACTCCTGAAGTTTGTTTTCTAAAATCTCATCCAGTCTACCCTCCTGCTGCTTCCTGCTATGTCAAGGCTTTCCAAAAAAAAAAAAAAAGAGATGAAAATAAAGATCAAAACTTTGGTGTTAAAAAAGTCAAAATCAGGTTTATTTGAAATCAGAACAGTCTAAGTTTGTCAATGTCTCTATAACAGCGGCACCCATAGGGTACATGAGGAACACAAATAAGGACTAGAAAAAGATCCTCCTGTCTAATGAGAGGAACAGGTTATAGAAACAGGGTCTCTATCATGGAGTAAGTCAGCAGTACTTAAGGAGTGACTGCTACTGTTGGTAGTCCTTCTCTTTAGCATCTCCAGGAAGGGCTTTTCATACCATCGTTAATGATGCACAGGGGACAGGAAGAGGGAACTGCCCTTCACAAAACACCTGTAACCTTACACACCATAAGGGTACCCTGAACTTGTCTAGGTGATCTTGACAAGTGATTCCAGTTCCACCCTCTTCACATTACAGGCCTATAGGCTCACCAGTACTGGACTTTTCCATCACAGGTTCTGTAGGAGATGGTGACTGTATGAATCTGCCAAAAGACTTGCCTGTGGGTGGACAGCCCAGTGCCACTGCAGAAAAATTATGTAACTTGGAAACTCATTGGGTAGTTGGGACACACTTCCTCTTTGCTTTATCCAGAGGAACTTCTGAAAATGGTTGTTGACCCCAGGGTACTCAGTCATGCAGCCTGTGCAAACTAATCCAAAAGAGTGAATGGTAATGCCAAATGGTGTAGTAGACTGAATCATGTCCCCCAAAATTCATGTCCATCAGGAACATCTGAATATGACCCTATATGAAAATAGAGTCTTCGCAAATATAATTAAGGATCTCCATGTGGAATTATCCTGGGTTTAGAGTGGGCCATGAATCCATTATGGGTGTTCTTCTAAGAAGAGGAGAAGACATAGAGACACACACAAAGGAGATACACAAAGGAAGGCATGTGAAAATGGAGGCAGAGATTGGAGTGATGCATCTACAATCTAAGGAATGCCAAGAATTGTCAGTAGCCCACGGAAGCTGGGAAAAGACAAGGAAAGATTCCTCCCTAGAACCTTCAGGGGGAGCAGGCATTGCCGATACCTTGAATTCAGACTTCTGGCCTCCAGAACTGTAAAAGAATACATTTCTGTTGTTTTTAGCCACCCAGCTTATGACAGCCTGTTGCGGCAAACACAGGAAACCAATACAGGTGGGGACTGCATGAAAAAAGCCACAGTATCAGATAAGATTGCTGCCTCAGAGGCCTGAACACCCCTTACAAAGGAAACATAGTTCATCCTGGTTTAATGGAACATTATAAAGTAATTATAAAATATTACATTGAGAGGCAAAGCCACTTATTTGTTAGAAGGGAGGACAAAAGAGTTCAGTTTATTCTTCAGTATCCAGGCTAATGACTCATTCAGAATTATGGGTAACCCTTAAAATGGGGTTTGAGTTCTCCTTACTTTGTTACCAATTACAGACACTCACATACTATGCAAGATCATGGCTAATAAATTTTTGAAATGGGTTTTGTGCGCTCCTTCCTATGTTACGCACTACAACACTTAATGCCATGAAATGCACATGATACAACTGCATTTTATGGTATATTAGTGTCATTAATTGGTAACATAGTAATTTGGAAAATTTCTTACATTAGAAACAAACTAATAACATTCAAAACAATTTTGTGAAGAATTCCATATTATAAATGGGGTTGCTGCCATCTGACAACAAGCATAAGCTCTTGGAATAGAAAACAATGGATGAAATTGAACATTTGCCCATATAATATAGGATTTGGGAACTTTGTTCTTTTTTTTTTTTTTTTTTTTGAGACGGAGTCTCGCTCTGCCACCCAGGCTGGAGTGCAGTGGCCGGATCTCAGCTCACTGCAAGCTCCGCCTCCCGGGTTCACGCCATTCTCCTGCCTCAGCCTCCCGAGTAGCTGGGACTACAGGCGCCCGCCACCGCGCCCGGCTAGTTTTTTGTATTTTTTAGTAGAGACGGGGTTTCACCGTGCATGCCCCTAGGATCATACTGGAAATGGGGATGCAATTAAAGTGCCTTCAGGCCTGATACCTGGGCCTATTTCCACACTTAGATGATGTTCAAGGTCTAGGGCTCTGACCGAATCCAGGATTTATGAGGCTAGGTAATGTCCCAGTTTCTGAAATTTGGGTGACATGGAGTACCAAGGGCAGAGGTGTGTTATGATCCAAGTACCAGCAATCCATCCTTCTCACTTTAAATGTAATCCAGGAAGGTGATATTTGGAGAAAACCAATGTTACTTCACTAAAGAAGTCATTGAATTATTTCTACATGAGCTAACATATGTAATGCAAGTCAATATCAAGAATGAACCAGACAAATGCTAATAAGCAAACTTAAATAGAATGATATAAAAGGGAAGAATTCTTGTTTTATCTTAAAGCAAGATTCAAGTTACTGTCAGTAATTATGGTTCTCAGGTTTTTGAAAGAGACAAGAGTTTTTCCTTTCAGTTCTCCCCTTGACTACACATTAGTTGTCACAAAATGGAGGCATAAATATAAATAGGCACTCAAGGAACTATTTCATCAGCCAATACGTGCACATTGGAAGTATTAAGGCACAGTCAGCACAGAGTGGCCAAAGGGATGGGCCCAGTGAACCCTAGGATAGGGAAGCCTATTCTCACCATTATTTGTCCTGACCAGCCTGACTCCTGACAACTCCCTGACTCCTGACAACTCCCATCCTCCTTGTTTGTAAATAGAAACCATGACAACTCCCATCTTCCTTGTTTGTAAATAGAAACCGCAACACACATCTTTTTTATGCAAGACACCTGGGAAAAAGGGTTGAGTCCAAAATTAAAAGAAATACCATTATATTAAATACACAATTACGCTGTCAAATGAAATTCAAAAGTGTACAACATGACCTCCAATAGCCATTCGCTTCCTGAAAACAAAGACTACTTAATTTGACCATTAATTTCCTCATTTGTAAATTGAACATGTTCCACTTTTCAAAGGGAAATTTACAAAAAAAGAACAAATGGTCAAATTCAATTGAATAACATGACATTCAACATGCAATTGTTTTGGTGAATGAAATCCCAAACTACTTTCAGTGGCACTTCTAGGCATTTGCTGTTATTAAACAACAGGGGCTTGACCAGTCTGATGCTCAATGTGTGTAATTTTACACTGGAAATACCACAAAAAATTTAAATATTTTTAAAAATACTAGTTGTATTACTCAGGGTTCTCCAGAGAAACAAAACCAATAGGGTATAGGGGGGGTGTGTGTGTGTATGTGTATATATATATATGCCCTAATATATATGTGTGTGTGTGTATATGTATATGTGTGTATATGTGTATACACACACGTACATATATATTAGAGCATATTGTATACACACAATATAGGATATTTATTATATATATTTAATATAATACATGATGCATAATATATATAATATATAGTATTTATATATATATGTATCCTATTGCTTATATATGTTATAAGGAATTGCCTAATACATTATGCAGGCTGACAAGTCCCAAGATCTGCAGAGTGAGTCAGCAAGCTAGAGACCCAGGAATGCTCATGGGGTATGTGAAAGGAAAATAAATCTTGGGACCCCCAAATCACTGAGCTAAAGGGAAAAGTCAAGCTGAGAAATGCTTGGGGCAAACCTAACTCCCATTCTATTCAAAGTCATCCCTCTGCTACTGAGATAAATGCATATCTGATCGCCTCATTTGGAAAGGCTAATTAGAAACTCTTATCTACCTATGCCTTGGGACTCCCCTCCCCCTTTGAGTTGTCCCACCTTTGCTTCCAGTTGTCCCACCTTTCCGTACCAAGCCAATGTTCATCTTACATATATTGATTGATGACTCATGTATCCCTAAAATGCATAAAACTAAACTGTGCTCTGACCACCTTGGGCACATGTTATCAGGATCTCCTGAGGCTGTGTCACGGGCGCGCATCTTCATGGCAAAATAAACTTTCTAAATTAACTGAGACCTGTCTCAGATGTTCGGGGTTCACAGGTAGTTCCATTCTAAAGGCTGGCAGACTTCAGGCCCCACAAAAACCAATGTTTCAGATTGAGTCAAAAGGCAGGAAAAATTCCTTCTTACTTGAGGAAAGGTCAGCCTTTTTGTTCTAGTCAGGCCTTCAACTGGTTGAATGAGGCCCACTCACCTGAGGGAGGGCAATCTACTTTACTCCGTCTACTAATTCAAATGTTAATCTCATCCAGAAACACCATCACAGACACACCCAGAATAAAGTTTGACCAAATATCTAGGCACCCATTGTCCCAGTCAAGCTGACACATAAAATTAACCATCACATTATTAGACAAAGAAAGCTATTAAATAATAAGAATTTTTAAACAGCAGAATGTTATAAAAAATACATGTATGTTATAAAATAAAACACAAAACTATCCTTGCTGGCAGCTTGAGGATATTCAGTGGCATAAAACCACAAGCGATTAGCCAAATACTTTCCTTATTTGTAAATTAAAAAAAAGAGAGTAAGTTAAATAAAGCTTTTGAAAAAGACCAGTCCCAAATTTTAGTTAAATAATAAAAGGACATTACATAACAATTGTTTTGTATAACAAAATTCCAAACTGTATTCTTTGGCAACTGACTGGAGAGGCTGAAGAGCATCTACTGTCATAAAACCACAAGCACTCAGTCGGATGATTCATTTCCCCACTTGTCATTTTTAAGAAAATGTATGAAAAAGAACCAAGAGCAGAATTTAAACACCCAAAACCTACTTACGTATTTTCTCCTTTTTCTTCCCCCTAAAATTAGGCTTAGTGGTTTGGAATTTTAAAAGCTCAAATCAAGAATGACTCTCCAAGGAAATGTATCCATAGTTCCATTAAATTGGAAACTGACACTGAGCTATTGTCCTCTGTCCATTTTCATCCCCGTGGCCCAAAAAAACTGATAATTGAGAAGAAATTACCAGGCTGAAAGAGTGAGTGACTCATCCAGACTACCAAAGGGAATTTGGGTTGCTGCATCACAATGGGGAAAAGAAGACTACTTCTGGAACTGAGGAGATTCACTGGGCCATCGCTTAGCACTCCCAAATCCAGTTTTAAAGTTCAGTGGAAAACTGATGCAACTCCAGGATGACATCACCTGCAAGGACTCAGATCCTTTGGCAATGAATGCTTGAGTCACCCTACCAGGTAAATATTCACCAGGAACTTGAGTTGCCAGCATAGATTAAGGAGAACATGGAATTGATGTCACAGGAAGAAAAGTGAGAATGCTTTCTCCCTATGATTTTCATGACTATTGAAAAAGTACTGATGATCATTTAAGGTTATAATTTGGGTCACAGATGAGATTATGATTGATTTGACATCACCCCATGATGATATGTAGACTGATGAGCCTTTGTATCTTCCTTATGTTGTGAAGAGTGTTTTTTCATCTGAGTCAATGGCAACAGTAGATGAGTTTTAGCAATTTACAATAGGGAAGAAGTGTGTTGGATATTTTTGTTTTGTCCACCTAGATATATCCTGTAACCTTTTCTGCATGCTATGTGCCCTAGGAGACTGAGGCTTGTAGACTACATTACCTGGGCTTCCTTGCTTTCATCTAGTAGTTGGATTTGGCCAGTGGTAGGCAACTGCAAGAAATCCAAGAGTGGGAGGAGAGAGGCCAACCTCACCACAAGCATTATTTGTCACTGTGTCTCTGGCAGTGGAGTTCTTACTCTACAATTATAGCTGTTGGTTAGTGGTCCTTCTTTTTTAGTGCTAGCCAATAACACTATTTCTTCCCCTTCCCACTGAAATTCCAGGTTTCCTAAAAACTTCCCATTCTTGCTGATCCAAATAGCCTATGTGGTATCTTCTCTCTGCCTACATATGCAAGTGGTTCCTTTATTAGAGTATGACTACTTGAACTATCTGATTCAAATTCTGTTTGCTATTAGGTCCCAAATAGATATGGTAGTATATTTTTTAAATCCTTGTATAGCAGACTCATGTGGTGGTCTTCTTGTATCCCCTCAAGTCTCACCTCTAAATCTCAAGGCTAGTTACTAAAAACACCTATGACTCTTGGCTCTGCAGAGCTAAGTCTCACCTTTGGATCTATAGGGCTACTTACTACACATGACTCTCTGCCTTAGGGGCTTTTTTTCTCACCTTTGGACCATGCTGGACATCAAACAAGGCAAGATGGAGGTGACAGAGATTTATATCACCCCTGGGGGAAGTGCTTTAACAAGTATGGTTGGGTATTTGGTGGCTAAATACCCCCAGCCTCTTCACCCTACACTCGGGATGAATGTGAGGTATACGTTCCACACGGTCTCCCACAGGGTCCCCCTGAGAATTAGCTCCAATTGCCCACAGTGGTAACCTGATAGATAGTTCTCCCCACCCTTGGTTGGCTGACTTCCTTGTATGTCTCACGTCCCCACACCCCTACCAGCGCTATCTGGGACTCCATCCCAAGTAAGCACTTTCTACTCACAAGTGTGTCTCAGGGTCTATTTCCAGGGAAAGCACACTTGAACACCTTGCATGCTAATTTACCCTCACACTTGAATGTCTGGCTAAAAGTAATGTAGGCTCAAAGTTACTTTGCACCAAAAATTCAAAGACAATTCTTTATTTCTGGGGCATTTATAGTTGCTTCATTAGTTCCCTTTGTCTTGAGAGAACTCCCTCCCTGCTTTACCAACCACTCCCATTTTAAATTCACTTTTGATTCCAACTTTTAATCACTGTCTACTCCAAACATCAAGGGAGACAAATCAAGACCTCTAAGAGGGCTCCTTAAAGCCCCTCCCAATAGAAATTTAGGGCTGCAGGGCCTCTCCATGTGTCCACTCGGCCTCCCTTCCAGCTTCTCTAAACAGGGCCCTTCGTGACTCCAGCACCCCCAGACTCTGCAACATTAGTAAACACCCTTCAAGGGGGAGTAGATAGAGTTCATCTGCTTGTGACCTCTGGTAGCACAGAGATGGCTCAGAAGTCAAGAAACTACATGAACAAAAGCCACGTCCAACCAAAAGCAACACAGTTTCCATTTGTAATGGTTGCTTCAGGGGAAGAATTTATTGATCCACACTATTTTCTTGGATTTTCCATCCTCCCCGGAGGGCAGAGGTGAGTTGATGGCATGGTGTGTTGGCAAAGGCCAGCTCCAGCCTGGTGTGGCTTGTGCCAGCATCCACAGTGACTGTCAGATCCATATCATTTCTGTGATTCCCAAGCTGTCTACTGAGTAAAATGCTCAGCACGGATTTGGTGGCCAGGGTGGGTCTTAAGTATTCATCTGCCTTCCTTCTTATGCTCCGTGCAGATGTGCTGGGACCGACTTCAGAGTGTCCCTGAGTCATGACTGCTTGACTCCACAGATGGCTTCAGGAAGACAGCACAGAAGAGAGACCTGTGAAAGTTGATGGAATTCAGAATTACCTGAAGGAGAAGCATCAAGTAGTCCTGGAAACCCCTCTGCATTTCCCCTCCCTAACACACACACACACACACACACACACACACACAGACACACACACTTGACCAAAAGAGTCGGCTTTGCATGAATATATTTCTAGAATCTATGTTGGTCCGTGGACATGTCTATCAATTCCTGTTTCATTTACTAATCCTACAAAGTAAGTTTCAAGTCCAGAATGACAAGCTCCCCCTTTAACATAATCCTTCACATTTTTTTGCAGTATAATTTCATCTGGTCTTCCAGTTACACAAACACTCAAAATTCTGCTGTGACTTATGATTAGGATTGCACTGGATTTACCGATTTATTTAGAGGATAATTGATGCCATTGCAAAAATTGATCCTCCTCTTAAGAAAAATGTGGTATTTTAAAATCTTATTTGAATATTCAAACTGGAAGCTCATAAAAAGTTGCATGTTTGTTTTCCTTATATGTGTCTTTATCATTTCCCTAGGTGTTTCATAACGATTGTGACCAATGTAAGTAAGATATTTTATTTCTATTATATTCCCTATTTATTGGAAGAATATGCAATTTTTTCATTTATTTATTTTTGTTGTAGAGATGGGATCGCCTTATGTTGCCCAGGCTGTTCTTGAACTCCTGGGCTCAAGTAATCCACCCCACTCAGCCTTCCAAAGTGCTGTGATTATAGGCGTGAGCCACTGTGCCTGGCCTACTATGCAAATTTTTATGCTTTTAACTTCTGTCAGTCAGCCTCTCCTGGCCTACTTCCTAGGTGATTGCCTGGCTTTTCTAGGATGTCAGTTCCTTAAGAGAAAGACAGTTTTCCACTTTCTTTGTTAATAAAATATTCTATACCTATAAGTTCTCTTCCCTCTTCAAATTGTTTAGGACACTGAACGTGGCCTCATGGTCTTTACATGGTTCTACGTGGGGTAGAAGAAAACCCGGAAGACTGAGCCTTCCTTCCCTGCTACTCAAGAAAGGGAGTGTGCTGCATCCCTTTACAGGAACCTCAATTTCCTCAGTTCTTACATAAGATTGAGTGGGCAGCCGGTGTGTAGGCAAGCCACGTCTCCTCATAATAGTCATTTTAGTTCCTCATGAGAACCCCACTACAAAAAACACAAAGCACGATCCTTACCGTTATCCCTCTGTGTGATGGTTAATACTGAGTGTCAACTTGATTGGATTGAAGGATGCAGGGCGTTGATCTTGGGTGTGTCTGTGAGGTGTTACCAAAGGAGATTAGCATTTGAGTAAGTGGGCAGACCTATGCTTAATCTGGTGGCCACAATCTAATCAGCTGCCAGCGAATATAAAGCAGGCAGAGAAAAATGAAAGGTAGAGACAGACCTAGCCTCTCAGTCTACATCTTTCTTCTGTGCTGGATGCTTCCTGCCCTCCTGATGATGAAAGTGATAATGAGGCTGGGCGCAGTGACTCATGCCTGTAATCCCAGCACTTTGGGAGGCTGAGGCGGGTGGATTACGTGGTCAGGAGTTCGAGACCAGCCTGGCCAGCATGGTGAAACTCCATCTCTACCAAAAATACAAAAGTTAGCCAGGTGTGGTGGCACGCGCCTGTAATCCCAGCTACTTGGGAGGCTGAGGCAGGAGAATCGCTTGAATCCGGGAGGTGGAGGTTGCAGTGAGCTGATATTGTGCCATTGCACTCCAGCCTGGGCAACAAGAGCAAAACTTTGTCTAAAAAAAAAAAAAGAATGTGATAATGAAAGCAAAATTTTTGCTTCCTGTTCCCGTGACATTACATTACATTCTGCTGGCCTAGAGGTCTTACTTCCAGAGGGAGGAATGCTAGGAGACACAACAGTGATTCCATTAAACTGGAAGTTAAGTTTACAACCTGGACACTTTGGGCTCCTCCTACCTTTAAGTCAACAGGCTAAGAAGGAAGTTATAGTGTTGACTGGGGTGACTGACCCGGACTATCAAGATGAAATCAGCCTACTACTCCACAACAGAGGTAAGAAAGAATACACATGGGCCGGGCACAGTGGCTCACGCCTGTAATCCCAGCACTTTGGGAGGCTGAGGCGGGTGGATTACTTGAGGTCAGGAGTTCGAGACCAGCCTGGCCAGCATGGTGAAACTCCATCTCTACCAAAAATACAAAAGTTAGCCAGGTGTGGTGGCACGCGCCTGTAATCCCAGCTACTCAGGAGGTTGAGGCAGGAGAATCGCTTGAACCCGGGAGGCAGAGGTTGCAGTGAGCCGAGATCGTGCCACTGCATTCTAGCCTGGGTGACTGAGCAAGACTCTGTTTAAAAAAAAAAAAAAAAAGTGTACGCATGGAATACAGGAGATCCATCTCTTAGTATTACCATGCCCTGTGATTAAGGCCAATGGGAAACTACAACAGCCCAATCCAGGCAGGACTACAAATGACCCAGACCCTTCAGGAATGAAGGTTTCAGTCACTCCACCAGGAAAAAATCCATGACCTGCGGAGGTGCTTGCTGAAGGCAAAGGGAATACAGAATGGGTAGTAGAAGAAGATAGTCATCAATACTAGCTATGACCATGTGACCAGCTACAGAAATGAGAATTGTAGTTGTCATGATTATTTTCTCCTTCTTTTGTTAAAAACATGTTTGTGCATGTATACACTTGCACTAAGAAAATATCTTTATTTCCTTTTCCTTTATCATGTGACATAAGATTTATTGACTTTATATCAGCATTTAGTATTGTTAACTTTATGTAATAATATTTGGGTTGGGGATTGGTGCGTTTCCGGTTGTACGAAGGATAGTTGTATTATGTTAGACATAATTATGACCTTATTATTGTCTTTATTTGAAGATTATGTGTGCTCTCAGGAGATGTATATGGGTTCAAGTTGACAGGGGGCAGACTTGTGGTGGTTAATACTGAGTGTCAACTTGATTGGATTGAAGGATGCAGGGTGTTGATCCTAGGTGTGCCTACAGGGTGTTGCCAAAGGAGATTAGCATTTGAGTAAGTGGGCTGGGGAATGCAGACCCACCCTTAATCTGGTGGGCACAATCTAATCAGCTGCCAGCAAATATAAAGCAGGCAGAGAAACGTGAACGGTTGAGACGGGTCTGGCCTCCTAGTCTACATCTTTCTCCCCTGCTGGATACTGCCTGCCCTCGAACATCGGACTCCAAGTTCTTCAGTTTTGGGACTCAGACTGACTCTCCTTGCTCCTCAGCTTGCAGACAGCCTATTGTGGGACCTTGTGATCGTGTAAGTGAATACTATATATATATATATATTCTATTAGTTCTGCCCCTCTAAGAGAACCCTGACTAATACACTTGGACAGCCTGGAAAATCATGTCCTGCATCTAGACAATACCCACATGGGTCACACTTTAATGGCAACAATATAGTTATTCTAGATCAGAGACTTGGAAGGGACTACGGCTTGAGACATATGAGTGTGTCTCAAGGAACTGGACCAGTTTTAGCATAGATTTTTTGAAGCATTAAAAGCCCACCTACATCCTAGTTTCCCATAATGAAAGTGTGGCGCTCCACTGCACTGAGCTTTGGGAGGGGGTTAGGTGTGTGAGACACAGCAGTGTCAAATTGCAGTGTTTAATTTCCGCGACTAAATAAACACTCCATTTACATGAATTGTGTATTATAGAAGGGAGTAATTGCAGAGTCATGACCAAGGCAGGATGCAGAGATTGACAAGTAAGTGGGAAATTTGACCTGAGACTAATTCCCTGATTGGAGCATGGCAGACAAAGTTGCTGATCACTACCCAGGGAACCTGGCAAGATGCAGTGGGTGCTGTTAATCTACACAAAGAAGAAATTTTGCACAAGCCAGGAAGAAGTTCTGAGGTCAGGATAGCTGAGTGTTTCATCCAGGAAAGAGACACGCAGATGGCGCCCAGCCACAGGATATACCTCCTTCCTCACCCAGCAAATTTCCTCACCCTATTGAGTCCTGAACCAGAAGGAAGCCAGGCGATGGTGGCCAGCGTTTGAATCTTGCAGACTGTTGGCAATTGTCAGTCACCATAGTAACCATGACTTCACTTGGTACCGAACCAATAAGGCCCTGGGACTCAGGGAAAGAGAAAGAGTGCCAAAGCGTGTTTCCTCTTACTGTTTACCCTCTGGTCCAGATCGTTCTTAAAAAGCAATCTGAGTGGCCTGACAGGTAAAATATCCTGATATACCAAGATCATAAAGCATCCTGTTGTGCCATTACCTAACTAACTTATCTGATAAACCCCAACCCTGTTTGGTAATCGGGGGAGGGTATGGGACAGTCATTTGTTCAAACTGATACAGAGACACTATAGAGGAGTGGGTAGGAGCACAAGGCTTCAGATACAGGCTTTCTCAGTTCCAGTCTCACCTCTCTGTAACCTTGGGCAAGTCCTTTAATCTCTCTTGGGAGCCCAAAATTGAGAACACAGTTGGCATCCACCCCTGGCCTTGGCATTGTGCCAGATTCAAATAAAATACCACACAGCATTTTTGGGGGTGAGATAGGGTCAGGTATCAGAGGTGAGTACAATCTTTAAATCACTGAGATTACATTCCCTACATGGAAACTCAGCAGGATGGGCCTTAGAAACAGAAACTAGGTATTGCTTGAGAATGTACAGTTTATTTCTTACACAGGGGGTTGGAGTAAGAGCCATACCTGCTTCACCAATGATTTTCAAAGGAGACAGAGGTGAGAAGAAGGCAGCTCTGCAAAAAAGCAACATAAAATTGAGTTAAAATTAGTGTGGATATAAGAACGCTTGAGTTTAAGCTAGTGCTTCGAGTGCAATCTAACAAGTCTGTGTGTGTCAGATGAAGATCGGGTTGATGCAACAGTGTGTCCTTAATGTTCTGGGTCCCATCAGGCTCCTATACAGCCCCATGTGTGAGACAGATTGAATAAATGATATAGTTGGCATTTCAAATCAGAAGATGGCCCAAAGCAATCGCCTGTGACTACTGCTGGTAGCTGAGTGTGTTTGTGTGTGTGTGTGTGTGTGTGCACGTGCGTGTAATATGTGGCTGTGTCGGTGTGTGGCAGTGAAGAAGAGGTCCCAGGTCCACTTGATTACCTGGAATTCACCATCTTTTTCAGGCTTTCTTTGTTGAGCTGTCTTCCTGAGGTTGTTTGGAGCCGCTGTGTCATGGATAAAGAACTCCCTAAAGCCAGTGCCAACAAGCTTGCGCTGAACATCAAGAAGCCTGACAAGTCCTTCAAATGCAAGAAGCCCACCAAAAATGTGCTGGTCTTTTTAATCAACAGACAACTGGGCAGGCACAGAAGTGACATCGACCTGTCAAGGTGGCTATGGATGCTGTCATAAAGCAACCCCAGGGTGAACATGGCTTTGGACAAAAGTCATGTGGCTTATGTGCTGAGGCCTGCCCAGAATTTTGAGAAATTAAATATAATTAGAACAATAAACTCCTCCCATGTTTGAGCCATTAAAACAGAGTCTGTCATTTCATTCTTTTGGGTTGGATGTATGTTTGCTGACAGGGCTTAGTTGGGTTACACTGGAAGGGGCTTCTGTTCATCCTAACACACAGTGCAGGGGTGCTCAGACACAGAGCAGAGGGTGAGATCATGTTGCACAAAAGATGTCCCCCACCATCAAACTGAAAAACACTGTGAAGTCGTAGTGATGTAGTACTTGGCATTCAAAGAGCAAAGAGTCTTCTCCCTAGCCATTTTGGAGAGACAGCCCCGGTGTTCCCCTCTAAAACCTAATGCTTGTCCTAGTGAAAAGACATTGTTTAAGAGCAGACCAACACCAGGGCTGGGAGTGTGGGGTATGATTTAACATTGCAGATATCATGTCCACAGAGCCTACCAGAGGCAATTGCCCTGCTCACTGTCCCCAGGAAAGTAGAATGTCCTGGTGGCTTTTTTTTTTTTTTTTTTGGCATGTCAAACAAACCTTCAGGCCACAGCCATTCAAAGAGAGTTAATTTTCCTGAAGGGAAGCCACCCAATAGTTCATCAAAACATGTGAGATGGCTCCCATTCAAAAAGCTCTGTCCCCAAGGAATGTGCTGAGCAAGTCAGATACTCACTCCAAGAAACCTGAAATGGGAATTATATGGGCAATTTGGTCACTAAGAAGTGACAGCTAAAGGTGAAGTGGGGACAGGGAGAGCAAAGAGGTCAGAGCAATGGTGGATATTGGCAAGCTCAAGTTAGGAGTAAGATGAAACTTACATAAGGTGAACCACAAAAGTGTTAACTTACGTAAAATCACAATGTATAAATTTATAAAAGGAGAGAAAGAGACTCTATTTCTTAGAAAGGGTTGCAGCCTACACAGCAGCCATGCCACAGGCTGGGAAGAGTGCCTCTGGCCAAGACCACAGACTGGCACTTGGAAGGAGGAAGGGTTGGGGCAGGAGCTTTATGCTGAATGGGTTGGCTGAACATACAAATTCTACAAGTTACAGGAGGAGCTATGAATATTCACAAGGAGGATCTGACACATTCGTTTTCAAGAAACATCCCTGTAACATACCACCCGTGTTCACCTTGGAGTGCATTTAACTGTATCACATTTAGGCCCTATACAGCAACAGATCTTTCAGGGCACGTAGGCACATAAGTGCTCAATCTCTATAATCCAGCCAGAGCCAGTCCATGGTCGGTGGTTTCTTATTAGGAGAGAGTTACTGCAATCAATCTATTGCCCAGTGAAAGCTGTAGTTATGGCTATGGTACAGGAGACTGAGGGTCAGTTAGTCAGCATCTGGCAATAAGTGAGTTGCAATTGTTTCAATATTGCTTATCTCTAGGTCAGTGCTTGTTTAACTGCTAGAGAAAAAGAAAAGCTTGTGGCAGTGGGAACATACTTTATTCTTTCAGCGTAAGGGTGCATGACTTAACCCTTGCCTGACATCCTTCAATCCTGTTTATAACTTTGTATCTTATTGCCTCAAAAAGTCTGTTCTGTCCTTATTATGATGTCTATTTGAACATTAATGCTGATGAGTTATGTCTAAACCATAAAAGAGAGGGAGTATAATGAGGCTTGTCTGACTACAATCTACTCATGGCCAGGAACTCAGTTCTAAGGTTCTTCTAGGATCACCTTGGCCAAAGGAGGGTCAATTTTGTTGGTGAGGGCTTAGGATTTTATTTTATTTTATTTTTATTTTATTTATTTATTTATTTATTTTTTGAGACGGAGTCTCGTTCTGTCGCCCAGGCGGGAGTGCAGTGGCCGGATCTCAGCTCACTGCAAGCTCCGCCTCCTGGGTTCCCACCATTCTCCTGCCTCAGCCTCCCGAGTAGCTGGGACTACAGGAGCCCGCCACCTCGCCCGGCTAGTTTTTTGTATTTTTTTAGTAGAGACGGGGTTTCACCGTGTTAGCCAGGATGGTCTCGATCTCCTGACCTCGTGATCCGCCCGTCTCGGCCTCCCAAAGTGCTGGGATTACAGGCTTGAGCCACCAGGCCCAGCCAGGATTTTTTTTTTACTTTACTAAAGCCATCACAAATTCTAAGCATCTCTCTTGCCCTTTAATGTCCTTTAAAGATGCAAAATAAGCCTGTGAGCAGCCATTCTGTCCTCACTTCCTCTCCTCTCCAATTCCCTGTGTTCCCACAGCCTGTTCAGCATTCCCCAAGGCCCTTCCTGTGTCCCCTCCCCTACATCTAAGGCTTAGGCTTATTGTTATCTTGCCCCTCAGTCAGGTCTCCTCCAGATTTTTTTTTTTTTTGAGACACAGTCTCGCACTGTCGCCCAAACTGGAGTGCAGTGGCATGATCTCGGCTCACTGCAACCTCCCATTCCTGGGTTCAAGTGATTCTTCTGCCTCAGCCTCTCGAGTAGCTGGGATTACAGGCACCCGTCACCGCTAATTTATTTTGTATTGTTATTAGAGATGGGGTTTCACTATGTTGGCCAGGCTGGTCTCAAACTCCTGACCTCGTGATCCTCTCACCTTAGCCTCCCAAAGTGCTGGGATTACAGGCGTGAGCCACTGCACCTGGCTCAGATTTTTATGGGGTAGAAAATTTAACCCCTCTATGTCCTTTTCACCCTCCTCTCTGTCCCTGTCGCCTTCTCTGTCCCTGCTCTGATTCAGCATTGCCGAAAAGGAGCCACCAACCTCTCCTCAGAGGATGCAGCTGGCTGTAGGATGGAGGGGATGAGTTAGAGGTTGCCAGGTAGAGGGGCCTCCTGGGTGCACTTTTATGGGGAATGCTGCCTGGACACTCCTGCGTTGGTGACTGTTTACCTGCAGTCCAGCATCAAACAGTGGCTGTGAGGTGGAGAACAGGTGGGGAATGGAGGCTGAAAAAGCAGCAGGTAAGGCAAGAAGGAGCCAAAGCCACAGGAGCAGAGGCTGATAACAGTCAACCTCCCACACTCCATGGCCACACAACAGAAGAGACAGAATTTAGGATACAGAGTTACATGCAGATAAATCTCACTATTATACTGAGTGAGAAAACAAGTAGCACAGAATTATGTACCAAATAGTTACTCAACTGTGCCAAGCAGTACTTGGATATATACATAGTCAGTAAAGTTATCCAAACTAGAGCAGCAGCACATTCAAGTGAAACTCTGTCCCGTCTCAGACTTGGCTAGTGCCCCAAAACAATTGATACCAACTAACTCCCATCTTGCAAGGAGTTGCCTAACAATGGAGCCCTGGTGAAGAAGGTAATCATAAACAGTCATCTGACCTCTGACCACTCACCCACCTGCGGGTGTCTACTCACACTGGAAGTCTGGGTGGGTTGGAGATCAGGAAGCCCACTTCACAGGAACTGCATGGTGTGCTGAGTTCTCAAGAGGAAAATCCACTACACTTCAAATTTACTGGAAGGTTGTGGCTACTCAGCATACCCTTAATGGGCTTGACTTGTGTCCCCAGAAGTCAGACTCACAAATACATTTTAGAAGGGGAGTGACTACAGGAGAGCGATGAGATTTGGCCAGATTCTCCCAAAGAGATTTTTCTCAGATCTTAGTGGAGGCCATACGTAGCCTCCTCAGGGGGAAATCTGGACGCAGCTGACTGCCAGGGATTAGAGGCTGAGTGGAGAGTGCGCACACGGTGTCAGGAGACACTCTCTTCTTCTACTCTTTCATTTCTGGTTGCTGTCTCTCATTGCTCAAATCATCTACTAACCAGAAAGCAAGGAAGCCAAAGTGATGCGGTCCATGGTATCAGCATTCTGGAACACAGCCTTGTAGAGAAGCATATATCTGGTTGAACAAACTGAGAATAACCTAACCAATTCACCACTTTTTTTCCATAGCCAGGACCCACTGTTACTTTGATCAGAGAAAAAAATACTCTTGCATAACACACAGTTTGAGGTCGATTTGATTATAATAAAACACGGGTCCTAAATTGTAACTTTAGTGGTTACAGGAAAGTTTCCTACACATTCTCATGGAATGGGTGAAGGAAAAGTCATCTTATCTCCCTATGAAACTAATTTCTTATACTCTGTCAGCACCTGGAAATGTTGGTGGGTGGATGTGTTCCTGGTGGGAATAACCTAGGAATTTGTTGCTGAAATATATGAATTTTTGGAAGTGATACCATTATGGAATTGCATCAGTTTTCTGTGGAACATTACAGCTCAACACGGAAGTGCTAGGTGGCTCCCCAGTGAATCCCCTCAGGTGCAGAACGAATCATCTTTCTCACATTAGGAAGCAGCAATCCAAACTCCCCTTGGTCACCTGGATCACTCACCCATTCAGGACAGTGACCCCTTCTCAACCCCAATTTTTGTTACCCAAAGACTTGAAAATGGACAGGGGACAAGAAGTAAATGTCAGTTTCCAAGATAATGGAACTGTGGATATTTTCCAAAGAAGAGGCATCTTAGCTCAAATATTTTAGCCTCCAAACTATCCAAGTCCTATTTTTGGAGAGAAGGAAGGGGAAAAATCTGTGAATCATTTTTTGGGGGGCATAAGAGTGGGGAGAGTCATTCTGTATCCCATCCTGGCAATGGAGAATGGCACTATAGGTTGCTTACAGGTCCAGAACTAGAGCCATATCCTATAGGACAGCCCTCCAACCTTGAAGATTTCTGCTTCCTACATAATGCTACAATTGACTTTTCAACAGGCCATTCCAGCACTGTATAAGGCCAGATGCTTCTGGGTGATGGTAAGACTGGTAGATTACATGGGCCGGAGCTCATGTACCATCTTCAGTTGCCATTAAAAGAGTTATTGGACAAAAGTGATATTTTTGAAGAAACCACGGTGTTGGGGAAGTAGATCAGCAATACAAAAATGTATAGGTAACAGTAGAGGAACTGCCTGTTTACTCACCTCCCAGCAAATAAAATGCAACTTAAAACTAAAGGACTTCATTTGTTCCTCACGTAAGCTCAATTCTGAATTTTGGACTTGTCGTTCTCATGTCTGTATGGCTGTTGTGTAAAATAAGTAGAGGCCAAATTCAAATTATTTTGTCCCATAACTCCTCCCAATGTCCA